AAAAAAAAAAAAAAAAATGGAGGATCATAGTACGCAAGGAGGGATGGAAGGAATTGAGATGGATTGTACATGCACACAGAGGGGTTAGGACATATCCATAGTAATGATATCCATTTTTCATGGAGGGTCATTCAGTCAGCTACAGTTCTAGCTAACTCCAAATAGGACCTTTCACGTATTTTTCCATGTTAACTAAGGTCTAACGGGTAAATGGGGTTTTCTAACGCCTTGCTGAAATACAAATGTACTAGCAGATTTGCCAATGAAAGCAAAGACATAAAGTAGTTTTGATAAAACTTATTCTCGCTCAGTGAACCTGTGCTGGTATATCACTAATTCCTTTTCCAAGTTGTTTAATAGCCTGTTTTAGTTTTTACCTTCCCAAGCTTTGACAATGAATTTACTTCTTTGCAGCTTACACAATTGGCTTTCTCTGCCATTTTTGAAAACGAAAACAGCTGCCTGCCTTCTGTCTTCTGGTATCTTTGTTCTCTGGATTCCTGAATGTAATCCAAAACAATGAATGTGATCACGTGTTTGATGCAGGAAGTGAAATAATTTCCCCAAGCCTAGAGACTTGGAGGACTCAACACTATTTTGCTTGGGACTTCTCTGTTCTGTTCAACTTCAAATGGTGTGAGGTGAACAAGCATGATGCAGAAGACAGTGAAATTCAAGATTTTGTGTTGGTGAAACCTGTTGTGCTAGATATGAATAGAAAAGACAGAAACAACAGAAGAGTTTAGTAGTCCTGAATCTTTTGTCACCTGTGATCATGTATTATCTGTTCCAAGCTTGGTAGTCCCATATCTTAAGTGTTTCTCTTGCTCTGCAAATATTTAGAAAAGCCTGCTTTCTTGTTTGTAGCATTTTGGGGGCAAATCTTAGCTCCGTTCTGAGTTTCATTGTCCTAGTGCTATTGCTCTGTTTTTGTACTTGCCTTTGGTTAATTGCCTTTCTTGCACTTTTTGGATTCAGTTTTCTCAGTTCCTAGATTTGATACAGTTTGCAGAGTTTAGGGATATCTTTTTTTTTTTTGAGATGGAGTCTTGCTGCAACTCCTGGGCTGGAGTGCAATGGTGCAGTCTCAGATCACTGCAACCTCTACTTCCTGGGTTCAAGCGATTCTCCTGCCTCAGCCTCCTGGGTAGTTGGGACTACAGGTGTGCACCACCACGACTGACTAATTTTTGTACTTTTAGTACAGATGGGATTTCAACATGTTGGCCAGGCTGGTCTTGAACTCCTTACCTCAAGTGATCCACTCACCTCAGCCTCCCAAAGTGCTGGGATTACAGGCATGAGCCACTGTGCCTGGCCTAAAGTTTGGGGCTATCTCAAGGGCTTCATAGTATACCTGAAGCAGAAACATTTCTAATCTGTCCTTCAGATTGATAAAATGTTTTGTGTATGCACATCATACTGGTCTGCAGCTCCAATTCCCACCATTCCCACTTGCCTGATCTGTAGGCCTGCAGACACCCACCTGTGAAGTGTGTGAGGACAATGACATAGTTCTCCACCTCACCCACTGGCGCCTTCCACTGCAGCAGGGCTTCTGTTGGAGTGATGTTGGTAGCAATCAGATCCACAGGGTTGTCCATGGCTGAAACAGAATCGATTATCAGTTAAAGGTAAGAGGAGCTGCCGGGTGGAAGTGTAGGGAATGATCTCAGAAGTTCCACTCATGGTGCACGACTGGTGCTGCACTGTACAAAACAATGAAGTGAGCAAAAACCTCTTCCCTTTCTCCTCTTCTAGTTCCATCAGCCTCTACCATTTCTCCCTTCCTCCCGCCTCTCAAGTATCCAGTTCTCCCCCAACTGCCCCCAGCTGTTCCTTTTAATTAATTCATTAACTTCTTACGTACACAGTACTGTGCCAGGTACTACAAAGGACTTCAAGGTATGGCTGGAATGGGTTTTCAATGTTTGAATCTAGATGTAGCAACCAAGAGCACATGGCAGTTGTTAAAATTTTGTAGCTAATGAGATAATCATACTTCCCAGGCACTTTTATAAATGCTAGGGTATGCCTCGGGAAAGATCTCTGTTGATGAGCTTCAGGAAGTGTGGTGGGAACTCCATAGGGTCAGGAGTATCCCTAGGACAGAGAATATAGAAGATCCATCCCTGGAATGTCTACATGGGGTCAGTCAGGTTGCCTCAAAAGTCAAATCTGATTATTGGATGATTGTTTCACTGCTCACAAGTCTCATTCAGGACTGAGTCCTTGGTATTCTTTTTGTTGCATTAAGAGTCAAGAGGATTCTTCCAGGCCTAGGGAGGTCAAGAGGGCCTGTTGGGGGAACAGAGTGTGTGCTTGTCATAGGATCATCTTTCTAGTCTTACATGCCCATGCTCTAAGCCTTTGCTTTATTACTGTGCTTCTGTTCCATCAAGTTAGAATTTATTACAAGTAGATTTTTTTTTGTATTTTTCTTTTTTTTTTTTTTTTGAGACAGTCTCTCTCTTTCGTCAGACGGGACTGCAGTGGTGCGATCTCGGCTCACTATAACCTCCACCTCCCGGGTTCAAGCAATTCTCCTGCCTCAGCCTCCCAAGTAGCTGGGACTACAGGCATGTGCCACCATGCCCAGCTAATTTTTCTATTTTTTTTAGTAGAGATGGGGTTTCACCATGTTGGCCAGGATGGTCTTGATCTCTCGACCTCATGATCTGCTGGCCTTGGCCTCCCAAAGTGCTGGGATTACAGGCGTGAGCCACTGCGCCCAGCCACAAGTGGATGTTATTAAAACAGTTTGGGTATCAGCTCAACCTAAGCATCATGCAATTTACTTTTGAGAACCAAGACCTGCTGTTGATCTGGCCCTATTCTCTAACTGAAAGTGTTTTTTCACTTGCCTATGTCCGTTAACACAAAGAAACAACCAGGAAAATATTTTCATAATGTTGAAATGTGGATTGTATCCATAATCTGTGTGTTCAAAGAGTTTTTGAAATGTAGCCCTTATGACACTATACTTGGCTTGATCTGAGACATGCATGATGCCATGAGACAAACATGACACCCTGTAGGAGTACTCACTTCCGAAAGTTGTAAGATCATAGACCTCAAGGTAAAACAACAACAAAAAACAACAGCAAAATAAGACATTCTGGGGCAATCTAGTTATTGGAAGTTGGCAAAATAGTTCTGCCTAGACTTGAAGGAGGGCAGTTTGGATAGGCATACCATTTGAGTTGGTGAACCAAATATCTACTTTAGAGATACTAGCTGCTCATGACCAAGAATCCAAGGAATTTTTTTTCTTCTGAGAGACAAGACCTTGCTCTGTCACTTAGGTTGGTGTGCAGTGTCGTGATCATGGCTCACTCCAGGCTTGGACTCCTGGGTTCAAGCGATCCTCCTGCCTCAGCCTCCCTAGTAGCTGAGACTCCATGCCCTGCTAAAGAAATGAGTTTTTGACTAAAGTTGCTGCTCTCTTTTATCTTGGGGTTAGGGGCTCTTGAAATACACTTTATTATCCTCAATGGGAAATTTCTTTAATATGAATTTCTAGGTTCAGAAAGGTGGGATGGAGGCTTCTTTTTGTTTGGACCCCACTTCTGGTCAAGGCTTGTTGATATTTTGGTGGTCACAGGTAATTTAATAGATAGAACAGGACTGAATGGCTGAGTTATCTGTACTTACAAGCCTGGAAGGAGACTAGGGAAGACAGGAATATCCAGCGCTGTCTTCAGAAGAATAATTTTTGTGTTTTTGAAGGAATATTTCTTGACTCATTGCTTTAGAGATGCTATTTCTGAGCTTCTAAGGACATCTACGAAAGCATTGAGGAATTCCAAAGTACATTTCCCTCATTTGGGAATACCATTCTCCAGGGAAATTAAGCAACCATAGAAAATCCAGGTGTTCTCCTGATAAGGCAAGCTGGATGTTTTCCCATGTGCTGTGAGAATGATGGCTTAACTAGGAGGTTTGGTCTAGGGCTTGGGAACAGAAAACTTTGGCGGTGCCTGCTAGTGAGCTCTACAGAAAATCTTTGGAAGTTCTACATGGTATACTTGCTGAGGGGCCAGAGGCGGAGGATCAGTGGCACTACCGAAGGAGCCTTCTCCTGAGGCCCATCACATGGGTGTGTTTTCAAGAGGGAGGCCATGGGATTTGGACTACCCTTCCCCACCTTCCTATATTGCAAGCCAGACTCTCCCTTGCACCTCCCTTCCTTTAGTCATTATGCAAGAGCTGATGGAGCATGCCGGAGACGTCTGGATCTGACTGGGGGGCCTGTCAGAGACATGAGCTACACGGTGCTCCTGCAGGCAGCCCAGGATGCCCATGGAGCCACATCCCCTCCACTGCTTTCGTCCCGGGTGAGGGAGTTACGGCCACTTTGGTGCCTTCTTTCTCCCTGGAGCACAAAGCAAGAGCAAATGCAGCTTCTTGGTGGTTTCTGGCCATATCTGATGGTGAATTTCATGATCCCAATTTCACTACTGGAATAACAACCCTTTTCTCCTTTGAGGTGAAATTTCCTTATCCGAGTCTTTTACAAAATCAGATGAATGATTCAGGTGTCTGTTTTAGATTTCAATTCCACCACATGTCTTTGAAAGGGCACTATTTATATTGGAAGTTCCATGAACATGCTTAACCTAAACCAGCAAGACTTCTAGAGGGTGACTTTCTAAATTTTTAGTATTAGAGAGGAATATCAGGGGAAGAGAAATTGCAAATTGCCCTGCACAACACAGTAAATGGGAGGAACACCCTGAAATGGAGCCTCACCCTTCAGAACCTATGTATGAGCCCTAACAATTTCACCTAGGTCCTCAGCCAGGGTCCTGACTTGACACAGCAGGGAGACACGCCTACCTGTGTGCACGAGAGTGCAGATGCGCTCACTTTCCTCCCTGCCCCGCACGCTGTTGAGGCTGATTTCGTATTCAGTAGCTGGATATAGTCTGGTGATAGTGAATTCTGTCACAGTGTTGGGCACCACTGAGCTGTCTAGTCGTCCCACTGGAGAAGAGCAGAATGTATAAAGTTCAGCAGCTCTTTCATTCAAGTAGTCCCTGGAACAGTCTATGTCAATGAAGCACAGATGGGTGTGGGGCTCAGCACTCAGTGGGGAAGGACAATAAATGGTTCATGCACTGGGAATGCTGGAGTGTGAAGGGGGCTTGTACACTGGTCTTACTCCTTTATTTTCTGGGCTCCTTGGAGCAAAGAAAAGTGAGCTACCTATTAAGTGGTTTCCTAACAAGCTGGTTTTCTCTAAGACAATGATATTAAGATGCAATGAGCAGTCCACACAGTCCAGAGACAGTGTAGCCTGGAGAGCTGTCTGTGTCCTCACTGGAAGTGAGTGTGCCTTCTACTTTCTTAACAATGCCACATGTACCAGCAAGAACTGGCAGGATGCAGGTGAGGTCTGGGCCAATTTCCTCTGACTCATAACTTGGCTGGAGTGGCTGAAATGGGACCACATCACTGTGGTTCCCTCCAATGCTCCATCTGGCTTTGCTGGGTCTTTAGCCATCCCTCTGGATCCTCATCTGAAACTTCATTCTCATAGGAAAGTTCATGTGACCCTTGCTCTTGGCAGATTCTTCTAGGGCTCTTTGTTTCTCATGACACTGCCTAGATAATGGTGACCAGTTAACTCTGCTAGTGAAAGGCCTGCTTTCAGGGTGAATATAATCAAGCCTTTCTCAAGAGGCATTGGTGAGTGCAAGGTTTCTTGGCTGCTCACCAGCCCACTGTCATTCTGATGGAGGATGCCACAGAGAGGAGGAAAAATGCAGGCAGGAGTGGATGTTCTGTGGATATGCTAGTTCTCCCATAATCTTCACCCAAATCCTAATATCTTTGAGAAATCAAATAACTTTGTTACCTTGAGTGGGTCGATATGATACTCGGTAGTAATCAAAAGATGCAACAGGAGGGCTCCAGGAGACCATCACTGAGTCCTTGGTCACATTGCTAATTGTGATATCTTTGGGGGGATCAATTCCTACAAGGACCCAGTGGTTGTGGGAAAAAGACAGAAAGCACAGTGTGAAAAAGAAATTCTCATCCCTGGTTTTATGTTGACCAAAAGCCAATGTTGTCCCAAAGGCAGACAAGATCTTTCTGTGTAACAGGGTATCCTTAAAACCATGGCCAGGCTCATGTTTCACTTGCAACCTTGTAGGTATGGCCAAAGCTATGTTAATGGAGAACACTTGAACAACAAGAAGCCAAGTTGGCAAGCTCTGTACCTATTACCTATCTCCAGGCCAACGAGGAACTGTTTTTTTTTTTTAAAGTTCATATGTTTTGTTTTGAATGGGGAGAAATACAGACATTTTCTCTGGGATAGCTTTTTAAAGACAAACCCAGTTTTGCCTGTATCTCTTATTTTTTGCAGCCACCTTCGGTTTTAGTTTTGAAAACTGCCTATTGACTGTATAGCGATTTCAGAGCCCAAGTCCAGAACAAATCCATTTTCCTAAATTGTTTTTCATTTATGCTCTGGATTTTTTTTGACTGCTGGGGGATCACAGAGTTGATCAGTTGAGTGTTTAATCTACTTGTCCAATTTGTGAGTTCTTATTAGTAAATAGGAAATGACCCAAACATACATGCCTTCACCCACATGTACCTCATACTTGAAACTAACTGTATTTGCGAATAATGAGCTGGGACTGATCCAGTTCATCTCAGAGTGCCTGTGTTTTCTAAGTAAAATACGGATCAATCCCATTCTCTGAATGCCAGGTCACTACCTGATTGCACGCTAGTCCCATGTGAGACTAAGGAAGCATCAGTTGTACCAGTGACCTTTCTGGGCAGTCAAGAGATGGCTTTCCAGAATAGAAACAGGTGTCTCTTCACTGTAGAGGGAGTCCTCTTGGAGACTAGCTTTCTTCAGTGTTTTTTTCTCTAGGCTGGTAGTGGGAGGTGTTTTGGACAAATGCAGTCAAGCTTTGACCTTCTCAAGACATTGACTCTGTCCCACCTTCCAAATGGGAGCTTCTCATCTAATGCATCTTCTGTAGCACTAGAGGGAGTAGCTGTTTCAGAACACCTCATGGACTTTCTTTAGCCATAGAGGCAGTCCCTTACTCCTTGGGTCTTTGTCTTTTAAAATTTCATTGATGTGTCAAAGGCTACTGTGAGAATCCCTTTCATCACCTGCTGCCAAGTCCTCCAGCCTCACCTGTGGTGATGGAGCCCACAATGGGCTCAGAGGTCACTGTGCCATGGACAGCCACAAGGTTCACAATATACTCTGTGGCCGGCTGCAGGCCCATCAGGACAGCATGCCTCTTGGTGGCATCCAGGGAGACCTCTGTCATCTCTTCCTCCTCATCCCTGGGGCTGTAGTTCAGAATGAGTCTGTCTGCTGGGGGAGATGGGTCACTCCAAGTGATGTTCACACTGGAGGAGGTCACGTGAGAAAAGTGCAGATGTGATATGGGACGGAAGCCTGCAAAGAGAGGAGATGGGTGATCCTGAAAAATGTGAGGAGATGGGCCATTGGGCTAGAAGAACTTCTGGGATAAAGGGATCTGCTCTCCTTGCTAATAAGGGCTACATGTTCACCCGCTGACCCAGAGTTTCCACCTCCTCACTCTCCAGTCCTGTTCACTCCACTTTTTCCAATCCAAATATGAGAAAATGGATTCTGTTAAAATCAGAAATACCTCTGTGAGTTAATCATAATACTGACCCAGGATTGAAAGCCTATATCCTGGAAGGAATTTAACATGATCCCATAGATCCTTTGAATTCCCACTGATTTACTGCAGCAGGGAAAGATGGACAGAATGAACTACTATGTCAAGGCCATAGAACAATCAAAGTTTTCAGGCAGGTAGCACTGTTGTTCACCTCTCTGCTTTACTTCCAAGCCTTCCCTCTTGATGTGCTTCTTGGTTTTGCCTCTATACTTTTCTATCCATCTCTTTTTTCTCCAAAAGAAATGGAACATTGGGAGAGTGAGTTGCCTGGATGAATTTCTCACACTAAGATCTACTGATCCCTGAACCTGGCTGGGATTTCTGCTGCTCTGGTACCTGTGAAAGCATCCACAGTGGACTCCAAGCTCTGCTGCCGACCCCTCTCAGCGGTGATGGAAATGATGTACTCTGCCCCAGGCTCTAGATCTGTCAGTGTGTATGAGGTCCTGTCCTTGGGTACAGTGACTTCCGAGGCAATCCCAGAGGATGGGGTAAAGGTGATTCGGTAGTGGTCAATGGGGCCACTGGCCTTGGTCCAGATGAGGGAGATGGAGGTCTCCGAGGAGGCTGTCACCATGAGGTCTCGGGGACTGTCAAGTTCTGTGGATCGACATAAATGGCCTATTTTACATAGGTTCCAGAGGAGGGCAGTATTTATTGGCCTGCCCTGTGTGCTTCCAAGCTATCAGCAGGCCTGCTGACTATGAGCACTGGCTTGTCATTGATGACACTTATCTCATGTTTTACTAAGCACCTTCCCTCTGAATGATGGCCAGAGGCTTGGCAAATAGACAAACAATCTGCAGAAAGGCATTATGAGCTCCAATACCAGTGGATTGCATCCACCTCTGGGACAGAGCTGACTGCTGATTTTCAAGCTCTCCATATTCATTTTCTTCCATCCTTTCTCAATAAACCAATAAGGACAAAATGGTAGCCACCACCCAGTAGGGATATGCCATTCTTGGCAATAGCAGCCTCCAGCCCTGAGGCTATTTTGACTTGTTCTAACCATATCTAGCAGGCAGCTAGATCTGAGGACCTGGAGACCTTTGTCCTTATGGTTCTCTAGAGAGGTTTGTCTAAAATCCCTAGCCCAGCCCAGGCTACTAGTACCACAGCTACTGAAATGACTTTGAAATTTATCCAGGATTTGGAAGCAAAACTGCTGAATCCAGAGCAGCAAGGGTCTCAACTGGACTTTTTTTCTGCCCTCAGATTTAATGGGTTGTTGCAAGTCTAGGTCTTCACCCAAGTGGCTTTTGTGAGGGTCTCTGTGGTGCATACAGGGTGAAGGATGCCCCATTCTGCCTGCTGTCGGGGTGGTCTGGATAAAAATACGGCCTGCAATGGCATCAACCTGTTTAAGCTTTTTCATGTCTGCTCTGTACAGCTCTGAGCAGCTCTTCAGACTGTGGCGGGATTGGGAGGTAGCGAGCATAGGTCTGTGGGGAAGAGGGTGACTCCATCCTGCAGGTCAGTGGTCAGAGGTTAGGCATAGGGTGGGTGTTGTATTTAGGCTGACAGTTGTCACCAGGGACCTGTCCCCTGGGAGACATTGCTTTCTGACTAATTTTTGCTGGGACGAGCCTCCCTGACTTCTTGGGTTTATAGGCTAACCTGGTCTTCTTCCTCAGCAGTCCTCCTACTCACCAGTCCTGGCATTCATGGTGGCTGGCACACTTTGCTGTGAGTTCATGATGGCAGATATTCCAACTCCATACTCAGTGCCAGGTACCAGATCTATCAGTGGGTAGAGAAACAAACATTATTCTGTGTATGGGGCAGGGCGAGGAAGGCTGAAAGCAGGGAACAAAATGATCTTAGACGCCTGTTCATACCTTGTGTTTAGTCCTCCTTGAATACTCTCCTAATTTCAACTATTAGGAAATCCCACTTTCACTACTTAGGAATCCCAAACAGGATGAATCAGCCCATGCATAGCTTCCTTCTTGCAGCCAGGCTCTCTGGGAAGGCACTGAGGCTGCCTTGTCAGTGACCTTCAGAGGTGTGCTCACCGAAGTATACAAGGAATCCTTGTATGCTTAGTGTCTCAGGTTGGCTTGAACCAGTGAGGGAAATCTCTTGCCTGAATTGTGAATTTTGGAAATATGTAATCAAGAGAGACAGTGTGGACACGGGCCTGTAAAGCATTTCTTGAATGTTACATACAAAGACCAAGCTACACCTTTTATAGGAGTTGAGGCCATATGGGACTCCTGGGTCCCTTCTAGGGAGCAAGAGTGGATGGACTTTTTTCTAAGCACATGGCTGTCAAATAGGGGCATGCAGAAGCTCCGTTGCTGTGGGCTCCCTGCCAAGTTCAGTAATTCGGGCCTCAGAATATCTAAAGCTGTGCATCTAATTTTAGAATAACTTCCAGGGGAGTCCAGGAAGACAGAGGAAATGCAAAAACCATCCCACTAAAGGGTATAAGCTTCTCTGAGGAAATCCTTTGGGGGGGTTTACTACAAAGGATCCCTGAAAGGCTTCTAGGATATCTGAAGCTCTGGGTTCTCTCACTGCCCTCTTTCACATTCATTTTCAGACTAACAGGTTTGACTGGTGTAGTAGTTTCCTATTGCTGCTGTAACACATCACCACAATTTAGTGATTTACAACAAAAATGGATTCTCTTACAGTTAGTTCAGGAGGTCTACAATCTAAAGTAGTTCAGCAGGGCTGCATTCTTTCTGGAGGCTCTAGGGGAAAATCCACTTCCATGCCTTTTCTAGCTTCTAGATGCCTGCATTCTTTGGTTCATGGTCTCTTAAATCTTCAAAGCCAGCAGCTTAGAATGATCAAATCTGTTTTCTCTCTCTGACATCTGCTCCTGTCATTGCATCTACTCTGACTCTGACCTCCCTACATTCATCTCATGAAAATCCTTATGATCACGTTGGACCCACCTGGATAGTACAAGCTGGTCTCTCCTTCTCAAGATAATTTAATTTAATCACACCTACAAAGTCCTTTTTGCCTCGTAAGGTGGTTATATTCATAGGTGCTGGGGATTCTTTGAGGGCTATTTCATCTATTACAACTGGCATCAAACTCATCTTTGTCTATTAGGAGTGGGATTGTAGAAAAACCCAAAAAAGGCCAGATGTAGTGGCTCTTGCCTGCAATGCCAGCACTTTGGGAGGCCGAGGTGGGTGGATCACCTGAGGTAGGAGTTTGAGACCAGCCTGATCAATATGGCGAAACCCCATCTCTACTAAAAATGCAAAAATTAGCCAGGTGTGGTGGCACATGCCTATAGTCCCAGCTACTTGGGAGGCTGAGGCAGGAGAATCACTTGAACTTGGGAGGCAGAGGTTGCAGTGAGCTGAGATCATGCCATTGTACTCCAGCCTAGGTGACAGAGAGAGACTCCATCTTAAAAAAAAAAAGAAAGAGGAAAAAAAAACCAACAAAATCAAGTGATCACCCGAGGGGCCTCCAATGGTCAGTCTGAGTCCTTCTAGTAGGCTCTTTGTGGGGCTTTGCAGGGACTCATGGCTGATTGCTGTGCTATTTTGTGTTTATATAACATCTGTGCTTTTCAAAATGGAATGTGCTTTGGAGTCTCATCACAACCTTGAGAGGAAGGGGGGATAAGCAGTCTTTTCTCCATCTGCATTAGCTTCCAGTGGCTGCTGTTACAAATTATCACACAGCGTGTGGCTTAAAACAGAATTGTGTCCTCCCACAGTTCTGAAGTCTAGAAGTCTGAAATGAAGGTGTTGCCAGGACCATGCTTCCTCTGAAGGCTCTAGGAGGCCTAGGCTCTGGTGGTTGCCGGCAGTCCCTGGCATTCCTTGGCTTGTAGCTGCGTCACTCCAGTCTCTGCCTCTGTAGACACATGGCCCTCCGCTATGTGTCTGTGTCTTCCCTTCTTCTTATAAACACACCAGTCACACCAGTCGTATTGAATTTACGGACCACCCTAATCCAGTATGACCTCATCTTAACTCTACTGTATCTGTAAAGACCTTATTTCCAAATAAGGTCACACTCACAGGTTTGGGGTAGACATGCATTTTGAGGGGACTGTTATTCAACACAATACATCATCTTTTTATAAAAAGAAACTGTGGCACAGAGTAAGTCTGTGACCAGCTAGAGATGCCCCCTGGATTTTGGTCTGAGTTCAGGGCTTTTAGGAGGAACGGGATGTCCTATTCCTTCCTTCCACCTCACCGGCTCCTCAGGGCAGCTGTGATTTCTCTAGAATCCCTGATTTTGATGAGAAATACCTCGAGCAACATTTCTTTAACAAATGGCTTGGCTTGGCCAAGAGGAACGCTGCCTGGCAGCCAGGGGTTCTTCATCCCCATCCTCAGTGGGCTTTAGGGCAGCCCATGCAATAAATATTGCTGAAGCATGGCAGAGCTTACCAGGCCAGTTTTCCCCAAGGAATGCAGTCCTGAAGCCCTGTCTGGGCAGACATTAGAATCAGCCCTCTTTTTCTTTTCTTAAACCAGCTTCATTCTCTCCCAACCCGTAACTCTTTCTTTCTCTAAAGTGGCAACACCAGTGGAGGTAAACTTTGAAGTTAGACAGCCTTTGAAATCTGACATATTTATGTTTATATTCAGTCTCGTCTACCTTCTACCTATGTAATTTTGATGACTTAACATTTTAGAGCCTCAATTTCTGAAGAATGAGAATAATAACAGCATCTATATCTGAGGGTCATCATGAAGATTACATGAATCAAAGTGTTTAAAGTCCACTAAAATACAAAGCCTGGATCTTAGTGGTAATAGCTAATATTTTATTACTTTGCACAGAGAACTCTCCTGGATTTTGATTCTTCTGTGTGTGTGTGTGTGTATCTCATCTACTATAAAAACTGCCTCAGGCAAGTAAAGGCTGGTCATGGGTTCACCTGTTGTTGGTTTGCTGGAGTGTACCCTGTTGGCTCTGTTGAAAACCAGTGACTCAGGGAATCCAGGTGGCAGTGAGGACCTTGTCCCTGGCTGGGCCAAGTACCTGTCTCTAGATTGAGTGGGCGATTGCAACACCCCCAGATCCCTTTGAAGCACACATTTATCTCTGTCAATATGCTCAGTGAGTCCCAGGTACATCCTTGGTTGCAGAAATGAGATTACCTTTGGGAAATAAACTACTTTTCTCAGGGAACTGATTGAGACCTTCAATTGCCTATAATGAAGTAGAAATTCTCCAGCATAGATGAAGGGTGACAGATCGAGGGAGTAAGAAATTATACATTGCCAAACAGTTCTAACATGTAACACTTTCATCCCAGTTTCTTATTTATGAAGCTTAAATGAAATGTTCAATAATTTACAATGGAATCATCTCCCAGAAAACTGCAGAGCAGAATTTAAAACATTTTCTTCCCAGGTTTTCTGTCTAGAGGATGGAAAAGTGGGGCTCGCTTATAGGTGTGCGCCTGCTGCTTTACTTTGATTTTCAGAAGCTTTCTTCCATGGTACAAGTGAATTGTTGCTCTTTGCCAGCAGGTAAAATACAATTCTGCTGGAAAAAAAACAAACAAACATGTATCCGAGGCATAGCTAGTGCACTTATATATCAGTGCTCTGAGTACTCCTAGGGATTTCTCACTTTTTCAAGACCCCATTGCTCTCTATAACGCCCCCTTTATCTCTCCATCAAACTCCTGCAAGTGGTAACATATAAATGGCTCTGTTCCCTTTCTTAACAATAGCACAGAAAATTCATCCCATAGGAAATCACTACTCTCCATTCCTTATAGAACTTTCTTTGTTCAGCTTGGAGGCTGATGCTTTTCTCAACTCTTTCACCTTACTCCCATTCTTCTTGGAACCCCTAAAGCATAGTCATCCACTCAGCAAATATTATTAAGGGCCTCCTTTGTGTCAGGCACAAGGCTGTGTGAGCTGAACAAGACATTAGCCTTGCCTTTTTGGGGATGAAAAGGAATCTGTTCTAAAAAAGTAAATTATTTAGTGAGCACCCATAATATGCCAAGCACTAAGCTACATGGAAAAGAATAATGACGAAGGGGAGGGAAGGAAAAGAGGGGTAAAAAATGAAGAATTTCTGAGTGTCTGATGGCAAAGAGTTATGCAGTTATATATAACTGAGCTTCTTAAAGATTCACGCATGTGATTTAATTTCCCTGCAGCGCTACGATAGGGTGTTACAGCTGAGCAAACAGGGGCTCTGAGAAGTCTATTCCTTGGTCAAGGTCACAAAACTAACACATGATAAAACTAAGTTTGGGATCCAAGTCCCCTGCTCTTTCCGACACATCATAGCATGGTTCCCATCCCTGAGTCTTACAGGCCAGGAGGAGGGTGAAGTAAGTAAACTGGAATTCGAGAGTGATTTGGCACCTGTTATAATTTGGATGCTTGTCCCCTCCAAATCTCATGTTGAATTATCATCCCCAGCGTTGGCATGGGGCCCAGTGGGAGGTGCTTGGGTCATGGGGGCGGATCTCTCATGAATTGCTTGGAGCTGTCCTCAAGACAGTGAGTGACTTCTTGTGAGATCTGCTTGTTTAAAAGTGTGTGGCACCTCCCGCTAACCTTGCTCCCTCTCTCATTGTGTGATGTGCTGGCTCCCCTCCGGCTTCCCCCATGGTTGTAAACTTACTGAGGCCCTCACCAGAAGCAGATGCTGGTGCCATGTTTCCTGTACACCCTGCAGAACTGTAAGCCAGCCAAACCTCCTTTCTTTATAAATTACCCGGCCTCAGGTATTCCTTTATAGTAATGTCAATGGACTAATACAGGACCGAAGCAGGG